CGGCGGGGTTGGAATACGGCGAGTAGGACGCGGCGGGAGGAACTGGCAGTGTTGGGAGGCGATAGGCCATCAACTGGGGCACTGCGCACGCGAGGTTGCACGCAGTACTTGAGCAGAAAGAGAGGCAGCGAGGAGGGCCATGGCTGCTGGTGAGTAGCTATGTTGCATCGATCCGTGCGCGATCACTCCACCACTCGCGCGTCCAATTGTGTCCTTGGCACTTAGCCCTCGCTGCACACACACCCTCCGTCGCGTCTCCCTCTCTCGCGAGCACGCGCAAGAGCAAGCACGCGCAGTTCGCTCGGTTCACAGCCGAGTCCCCACTGACATTGTATGCTGGCGATCTCTGCGTCTTTGTGCACGCTCCTGCCGTCCATGATGCACCGCCAACGTTGTTGCTCCTCGTGAGCTCTCTCAGACATTGCAGATCACTTGTGCCCGCCTCACTAGCATTCGCCCCGCTCTCAACATCGCAATCGCCGCCCGCACGGCCAACGCGCCAACGGTTCTGTCTATACCATAGCACGCGTCGCATCCCGCGCATATCTGCACGTTCGCCGCCCGAGGAACTACGCGCAACACGCTCGATGCACAGCCCAGTGTTCGCGACCGCCGTCGCAACCACCGCGCGCATCGCTTCCTCCTCGGCAGCGACGTTCTTGTACGCAAACTCGCTCCCTGTCTCGATCCCGACGCCCGCGACGCTCCCGCTCAGTCCCCAAAATCGTTGTACACAACGCGTCTCCGCGTGCGCTCTCTCTCGGTCTCAGCCGAGCGACTGCACTATGCGCGCGCTCTTTAGCTCGCTTTCCTCCAACGTCGGTCTTTCATGCCCATGCGCTCTCTTGAGCGCGCAGAGCTCCGCCGCTCCAAGGCATGTCATTCATCTCATGTCCGACCCTCAGGAAATATATTTCCTCCTTCCCATCTCTTCCTACGGCCTGAAACGTACATACGCGAGTCGCGACGTCAGCTCACGCTGTGCCCGTCGGTGCGAGACCTACCTTGCGAAGCGTCAGTGTTCGTGTCCGAGTCTGCGCAGGGCGGCCATCAGTATCGTGTGCACCGGATGTGCGGACGGAACGTACGGGACGACATGATCTGTGTGCAGAGGGTCTTGCAGTCCGGCGGTCCACGTCGGTCGCGGTTAGCTCTGCGGGCGGTGGTCATCGATTCAGCGGACAGCCGAGCCGTCACGGTGTATGACGTACGGGGCCAACGTGTGTCTGCTGGGAATGCCGTGAGTGGCAAGCGAGATTTGTGCGGATCGTACTTACGAAACGATTGATCAAATCGGCCGGTCCGTAATACGGAGGGCTTGCAGGCGGTCGAGCAGAGGCTCGAGGTGTGTGGCCTAGGAGGCCAGGATGATTGCTCCTCGTGATCGCGATCGATGTCGCGCTGTGTGTCCTGCCGATGCACGTTATCGAATCGTTCGCGGTCGGTTGAGGATTGGAGCGTGCTGCGTACCGGGTTGACGAGTCTGATGGCTGCATGCCACGATCGAACTGGATGGACGTGAGCGGCTGGCTCATTGATGAAATGGTGTGCGAGCGGCGTACTCACCGTTGCTTGTGCTTTGTGCTGTGTGCGAGCGGCCGCGTTTGGCAGGCGTGGATGATATGCCTACACACGAGCCGAGGTGAGCGTGAGCGGACGGCGCGATCGCAAGATACGCTTACTTGACTCGATAGGCGGAGGTTGCGTGCGCGTGAAGGGTGGGCGAACAGCGCGATGCGCGCGACGTTCGACGCGTCCCGTGCGTCGTCTTCGCAGGATCTGCTGTCATTGGGCTGTTAGTGTGAGTGAGACGCACCAGTACGGGCATGTTGCGCCCGGTCGATCCTGAGACGGTCGTTCGCGGTCGTCAGCGGTAGTGAGCGGAGAGCTAGGCGGCGTGCTCGTGAAGGACGGTTGAGGAAGGCATCTCAAGGCGAGGATGGGAGGAGATGAGGGGCGGAGAGAGGTGCCGAATCTCATCTCCGTGCCCCATCATTTATGCCTTGCAACCGCACCAGCCCGTGACCCAACCTTCCGTGGCGTGATCTGGGGACCTCCAGAACAAATCAATAGGCTCTTCTGTCAGCAGTGTGAGTTTCCTTGAATGATATGTCCCCCGAAATTTTATTAATGCGACCGTCGGCGAAGTTTCGATGCAGGCGAAAGAAGCGCGTGATGGGCTCGTTCGCGTTCATTAAAGAACGCGCGCTGGTAGAGCGATAGCCTGGGAGCTTGGCAGGCGTACTCGGTGAGTGGAGAGTGTGCCAGGGAGGCGACAGTGCTGTTTCGAGTGGCCGATGCGCGAGAGACCAGCATGCGCAAGTCAGATTCGGTGCGGGAAAGCAGCAGCATTGGCTCGTTGGTGTATTGCTGAACGGAGTCCATGGGCCTTGTCGAACGGTCTATCGGCCTGCGAGCGCAGCAGAAGTTGATGGTGCGGGCTTCATGCGCGGGCGAGGCCGTTGGGTGACTCGACATTCCGTACTTCGGAGAAGCTGACGAGACCTGCCTTGTTTCATATAGGACGTCTCGCACTGCTTATGGCTGTGGAATATCGATACGCCGCCCCGTTCAGACGGATTCGCCGCCTTCTGGTTCTATTGGTATTGCTGTGGGAGAGATTCTGGCAGGGAACTGTCCTTCATACCATCAGAACGGGCAGGATGCAGGAGCATCTCAGACTCTTGTCGCGGGTGCGCACAAGTTCAATTGTTGGAGATTGGCATACGTTCCCCTGTACGCGGGTGCCGAGAACGAGATGTCGCTCTTCGCAAATGTAATGACGATGGCCATGAGCGTGCTGTTAAGGTGTATCTTCATAAATCAACGGACGAGACAAAGAATTGCGCAGCGGAGCGATCCGACCCACGAGGACAACACCCAGATGGGCCTCTTGCTTCCTTGAAGCCGATAGAACACGGTCACAATGCGGCGATTTGATGGCACCTGGAATGCATGCAGCACGTCCATCCTTTGTAGGAAGAGTACGGGTGGTCACGACGTCTCGCCCGATTTCTTGATGGCAGAGGTGCAGGGCATGCAGACTACACTGAAGGAGCCGAGCCGGTTCGCTGCATTGCGCACACTGAGTTTGGGGTCCTGAGATACACAGGAGGGTTCGAAATAAATATGTAATTTGCTGATCAATCTCGCGAACAGGCAGCGGAGAGGATGCACCCACGAGATTGCCTTCGGAGAGGCGGGCATCTTGTCCATGCCATCGGTTCGACGAATCGTCCGCTGATCTGCAATGTTCCGATCGAGCATTACGGTCACATGCCGCTCATCAGGACCCCAATTCGAAGGTTCTCCGTCAGCCTGTAACGCGTTACGAAAGGGGTTGAGCGGCGAGCGCGCCGCGTTGAATTTCAGGCAGAACTTTGCCTGCTGCACTGATGCAAGAACTCCGCTCTACCATCTTCCTTGCCGGGTCTTTTTCCCACACCGGGCCGTGTGATGTCGTGTGGCTGAGTGGGAGGTTCTGCATTCGGGGCCAGCTACACGGGCTTTGACAGGGTCAAAGACAAATACTGCTCTTTGTAGGACTACCTTAGTCTTTTCCTTGATCTTTCTCACAGAAAATAATTCTATGAATTCTGGAAGGCTCCAGATTACTCAACGTACCTTCTAAGTTCTGATCCTTCATGGAAACCATCCAGGCTCCACTGGCATCAAATATCACATTATTTATGCAGCACGAACATGAAACATTTTAGACTCATGAGTGAACATCCATGTGCTGTGACCTGTCCTGCACGATCTCCGGAACCATGAGGAGAGCATACAATAATAATCTTAGCTCACTGAGCCAAGAGCCCATTTGCTAAGAATAAGAAGCTGATGCCAGATAATGGCCGTTGGTAATGCTCTGATTAGAATCAATGCGGCCGGTACGTTCACACGCAAAGACGCAGTGACTTGTTCTCCCCAGCAGCAGAAGTTCACACGTTGTGGGCTCAGTGGAATGTTTCTGATCGATGGAAGGTTTCTGATGGACATGTCATGTTTCGTGAGAATAGTGCTCTCCGACTCAAAGTGATCATGCACACCTGGCCTGTACTATCAGCAATCCACCCTCCTTCCCCTCTCTCCTCAAGGGTGGTATGCTAACAAAACTCGCTAGACCAGCTCATTTCCGAGTACCTGTCTTCATGGCCGTCAAAAAGCAGTTCATAGCCAGCTTCACGGCAAATTCTCTGAGCCCGAGATCAAGTAGGACAGCAGAATGTGCTAAATCGTGAGTATTTTGTTGCAGCGACCTGATTTTAGTCCACATTCAAGGCACAGAATAGAGATTCACCAAGCTGCACAGTGTTGCAAGTGACCGCAGGACAGACTAGGACGCGTCATGCTGCGCCACGGCACTTGGACTTTGAGGCATGCGCAAATGGTCACGTGGGCGCGTTTGTGGCGCTTCTACGATCGCAAAGCTTGGTGCGTGTGTTCTCTATCATTCTCATCATCTCGTTGCCTTTGACTTGCTTCATCGTTCGCGCTGAGCTGGTTACGGTCAGATTCACTATTTTGACCTCCCGATATGCTCAGCATCAGCGGCTTCAACCGACAGCCTGTATACATCAGTGCAAGCGCAACAATCCTGACTGACTTTCCTATCTGGGACGCCTTATACGGTCTAGCGAGCTCGATGTCGGTACTCCGGTAACAAGCGTGAATCTTCTCAGGAGCGAGAGTCAGCCACTCCCAGCTTCTGTACATGACTCGTATTCTCGCCGGGCCACGTTTGAAGACGTTGGGCTGGCTGTTGGCGGTCGGCGGCTAGTCGCAATAATCCAGCGGAACGCTAACCTCCACTTCATCATAGGGTGCCTAGGAGAAGGCACTGGATGTCATTGATGTGTTGCCGCACTCGGGCACATTTGGTACATTCGATGCATATGAGGACGAGACTCTAAACCCCAAGATCGAGCATGTGAATGCAAGATCCCTGTTTAGTGCATTAAGGCTGGCCTGTGCGGTATGTCAAATCGCTTCGAGGAGATCAGCCCGGATAGATCTATCGTGACCTGGAGTACCTCGCACAATGCTGTGCATTGCATGTTGAGGTGCAGCGAAGGCGGCGAGTCTTATCATTACAGCTTAACTTCGTGATCCTCAACCATGAAGCAGGTGATAGAGGTGATGTCCCGACTGTCCAGGAGCATGCAGCCGACAGACGTGCACTGAAATTGTCCAGCGCTCACTAAATTGTGTCGATACTCGGCTGGCCAACAGCTGGTCTGTTTGAGCACGACATGCGCTCATCGCAGCTTTCGGCCACCTGCCGGATTGTTTAGGTGGGCCCTTGCTGAGGTACGTCAATCATCCACTGTATAGCAGGCATACAAACTGATGTCGAGCCAGGTTGCCGGGTCACTGTCATCAGTGCGCTCCGTAACTGCATTCCTGAGTCACGCGACGGTCGCTTCAAGCCAACGATGGCCTCTTTCACGCAAGTCTCGATAGCGACAGTGGGTGCGACAGGCTAACAGTAGAAGAAACCGAGCTTGTTCTCGAGGCTCAAATCCACCTCGGTGTTCACAAGTACGTGCCGCTGCGACCATTGTATTGAATGACGAAGTACTGACAGACTGCCATTCTTACAGGGCTGAAAGACATATGCAAATGAGGATGCTACGGTCTGAGGCCATGAGATCCCATGGAGGAGGCTTCGATAACATAAAAAGGTACACGTACTTCACATCCTATGCCATTTCAGGAATCCTTAGTGGTCGCTCACGGCGCTCTGCTGACTTTCAGGAGACTTTTGACGGTCGCATAGGGCGACATACGCTCATTTCTGGGTGCCAACTAAATGGTGATGTCTTCGCATGCGATGTCCCGCTGCACGCTCATCGCACTAAGCATTTGTGTTTAAACAAGGTATGAGTGCGCTAGCGTGATCAATTATGAATGGAACCTTAATTTCTGCGCTCCGCGAAGCAAAACTCAACATTCGCTCTACAAAAAGAGCCTTTTTCGTTCGTTATGGTCCATGAACGCTGTTTGCACCTGACCGAATATCGCATAGGGCAAGTCCATGGCAATGTGAGCAGGATCGCATGTCCGACCGTGGCTTGCTTTGGTTGCATCATGCTTATCTCTTTGAGGGCAGTGTTTGGAGCCTTATTCGGCACATCTGTGGCTAGGCGGCGATGTCAAGCATTCAGCGCAACCACCGGGGAAGGCGAGTGATTGGCTTCTGCAGTCCGCATTTGATGTTTCTCATAGATTCACATTTGCGGGCTGCGAGTGTTGGAATGCAAGGAGCATCGGGTGAGACGCTCAGTCACAAAGCGGTCATTTGGACCATGGTGATGGGATTTGCTAGGTGAATGAGGCCGAGTGGCCGGTCATCACAGCAGCGACGGGAGGCCATTTCATATCGTGTATTCGCACTGCGTAGGAGTCTTGTAGGAATGAAATGGTCATGGTTAGTGCTCGGTTGAATAAGAAATAATGGCAGAGTTAACGGTATGAATGTACAATGAAGGGCAGCTGTATAGATCCCTCTCTGCCCCATTCATGTCCTCATCTCTCACATTATCTGTGGTCGTCCGCTTCATATCCACATCCAGTCGCACGGCACACATCACCGCGACCCGCACTCTGCCGGACTCGCCGAAAGGCCGATCCATGGGCCTGGCCTG